CCTCATCCCACCCCCCCACCTGGCAGCCCCTGGCTGGGCTGGGCTTCTAGAGAAGCCTCAATTAGCCCTAACGAGGAGCAACGACCCCCAGCCGGTACCAGGGCAGGGGTCCTGCCCCAATAACTCCATCCAACGGGGATGGGAGGGGAGGGGAGGGGAGGGAATGGAATGGAATGGAATGGAATGGAATGGAATGGAATGGAATGGAATGGAATGGGAGTGGGAGTGGGAGTGGGAATGGGAATGGGAATGGGAATGAGATGGAGATGGAGATGGAGATGGGGATGGGGATGGGAAGGGAATGGGAATGGGGATGGGGATGGGATGGGAATGGGGATGGGGATGGGATGGGAATGGGAACACAGATGGGAATGGAATGGGAATGAGGCTGGGAAGAGGGTGGGCATGGGGGTAGGATGGGATGGGATGGGGTTAAGGATGCGAGGGGGTGGGATGGAGCTGGGGATGGGAAGGGAATGGGATGGGGATGGGGATGGAGACGGGATGGGGATGAGGAGGGGACAGGGAGAGGAAAGGGACAGTACCATCCCCACGTGCAGCACACACTGCGGGTGATCGAGGCAGCCCGGCCGCCCTTCCGGCACCAGACCAACGCGGCGTACACGCCGATGGCCGCGCTGAAGCACGCCGACCCCAGCGGTGCCCTCATGACCGATGCTTTCTACAAGCTGGTGTTCAAATACGACGCGGTGCTGCGGCTCAGCCTCCGCGCCATCCGCCTGCTCCGCTGGAAGGCCCAGAAGGTGAAGGAAGGCGCCCGGCTGCTGGGCTTCAAATAGCCCCCGCGGCCCCCGGCAGCTTGGGGCACCGCGCTGGCACAGCCGCCCAGGCGCCCGGTTCGCTTCGGGGGGCAGCTCGGAGGCAGGAGGCGAGCGGGGCCAGGACCCACGCGGGGTTTCGCTTCCTGCTCCCGGCCTGAAATAGCACCCGCCGCCGCTGTATTAAAATCGGGAGTGGTATTTTTAACCAGTGCCGGGTGAAAAAGCAGAGCGGCTTCCTCCGAGAGTGCAGCGGCCGTGACGGGGCTGGGAAGGGCTGGCAGCTGCCCCCCATCTGCCTCCCGCTCCCTGGGGGCACCCGATCCCCCCGGACCCCCTGCACCCATGGGCATGAGGCACCCCGGGGCCCTGGCCCAGTGTCCCCTTGGCCACCCAGCGATGGCCATGTCCCCTTCCCCTGGGCTCCGCTGTGGGGTCGGCAATGCCCCATGGCAGGGGGGTTCCTGCATGATGGACCACGTCACCTCCCTCTGGCACCGAGCTCTGCGGCGGCTCGGCTGCAGCGCTGGGTGCAGAGGGTGCAGGAGGTGGTGCAGGGACGGGAGCAGGGTGGAAAGGGTGTGCGGTGTGTTCAGAGGGTGCACAGGGGGCGCATGGGTGCACGGTGGGTGCAAAGGGGCTGCGGAGAGTGGTGCAGAGCGGGCGTGGGTTGCATGGTGAAGGCTGGGTGCAGGGTGCAAGGCTGCTGGGTGCAGGGCTGCTGGGTGCAGGGTGGGTGCGGGGTGCAAGCGTGCATGGTGGGTGCAGGTCAGGCGCCAGGAGCAGGCGCATCGGGGGGACCCCAGCACCCTGCGCTGCCCCGGGGGCTCCCCCCCAGCTCAGGGGGGTGACGGTGGGG